TAGTTATGATTGACAATATTATCATTATTCAACACATTAAATTGATTAATTGCAACATCGGAATTTGAGCATATCTGTTGAGAATAAGAGTCAAAGAAGCTCCCTTCAGAAGGGATATTACTATTCGGTAAAATATATCCGAGTTGATAAGAATTAGCACCAAATGGAAGGGGATCGTAATTAATATCAGAAGCGTAAGAAATGTAATTCGCTAAATAATTTGTATCTAATTGACTATCTTCATTATAATATTGGGAATTGATACCATTTAAGAAATAACAAGCATCGAAAGAGCCTTGATCGTAACCATGAGGTGATGCGACATTTAACTCAGGATGTAAAGCTAGATTACCAAAAACACATTTGTTAATAAATATAACAAAAAATTAACTAATTTGTTGACACATTAATATTATTACCTTTCTTATTCAGAATTTCTTTTATAATTGCATTAAATGTGCTGCGATTCCACCCAAACCCAAGTGCTTCATTATGAGCATTAATGTTCGTTAGATAAAGTTTCAAGGATCGGGCCCGCATATTTCCCATTTCAACCTTGTAAGATATTCCTTTAAGTATTTTTCTTTAACAGGGAAAGCTGATACACCAGGGTATGAATTTTCTATAAAATCAATATAATTTTTGACACCATTTCTGTTTTTCGTTATTTTCGGATCTTTCTTAGTTTGAGACATTTTAAATTGTATGCTATCAAGAAATATACTATCGCTATTTATGATCATAATTTGTAAAATTATGTATAAAAATGATCGACATCAATATACCAAATGCATTTTGTGGCACTTTTATTCGAGTTGACGTAAAGTCAACAGATCGAAAAGATGCTAAGCATGTTGATGCGCATCGTGGAACCATCAACCGGAACAAGTCCGGTCCAGATAATCAAAGGAGGTGAATAACTTTCCATAAACGGTAATCACTAACTTGATAAAGGCGGCAATGAGAACAAAGATAAATCCATGGGAAACGCAAACTGGCCTTACGCCAACGATTGCTCACTCAACTGCGACAGACCACAATTTGCGACCCAACCCTCCCTCCCAAAAGGAACCGGCCATTCTCATAATATCAATATGCCGGTATTATGCAGGTAAAAAAAAAAAAAAAAAAAAAAAAAAAAGAAATAACACATGTTCACACTGACGGCCGGCCTGCATATGCAATGCAGGCGGGAAACCACCGGCCAGCGCTAAGCCGCATAAACAACTGCTTACGGTTATCTCCCGGCGCAATATCATTGCCATTTCCGGGAGCATATCCCGTTTCAGTTTCAATTCAATAGCACATAAATCACAGCTAAATGAGCCTGCCATTTTCATAACTATAACTAGTGAATATCACATGTTCATATTAACGGCCGGCCTGCGTTACGCAGGCGGGAAACCACCGGCCAGCGCTAAGCCGCACAAAATCAACTGCTTACGGTGATCTCCCGGCGCAATATTATTTGCTATTTCCGGGAGCATATCCCGTTTCAGTTTCAACAACTAATATAATCTGCATCCATCAAATAAAATTAAACTCTGGTATATCAGACCGGACTATTCCAATTATATGAAACATGCGTGCAATGCTTTTCGTTTTGTGGTTTAACGTTAAATTTGTGCTACGATAGAAACGCAGAATTTGTTGTGTCGATCTTAAGAATGTATAAAAGATCTTAATTTCAATAACCCGAAATGGGCTACCTTCAATAGATTGACTTTTTAAAAAAAATTCACACCTTAAATTTCACAGCTCATATCTCAATGAATTCTGAAGCAATTTTAATAATTCAATAGTCAAAAGAAATTTAGATCTTGAAATTTCTTTTGAATATTAAATCATCAAATTAGCTTCAAAATTCATCGAGATATGTGTCCATAAAGTTGAGGTATTAAATATTTTTAAAATGTCAATCTGCTTGATTTCTATTGACGGCAGCCCAAATTATCTGCTCCAAAAGGTATGAGATTAAATTTGTTTCTAAAGTATTGCACTTTAAGATATTAGCTTGAGATTTTCAAAAAGTGAACAGATAAAATGAAACTTCGCACGAGTTATGTCAGATTCATACTAGGTTAACTTTTAAGAAGCGCATAATTTTACAAATTGAAAATTTTATTATAATCTGTGCTTATTGTTTTGAATATTGGTCTGATCTGTTTTCAAATATTTTGGAGTCCTGTTGCATGATTAAAGGATGCTAATAAGCCATGATTTCTATATAATTTATTTTAAGTCATATGTTGGTATGAATGGACTTGGACAATAAAAAAAGCTTTAGGCATCAAAAATGTACAATATTACTCGCATCCTATTATTAGACCACGAGTCTAGCGCATTTATCGTTGTCATCATTAAAATTATTATGATTATTAAAAAAGTATAACGAATACAATATCGATATTTCAGATATAAATTTTTTGATTTATAAAAAATATATAACGTTAAGTCAAAAATAACAACTATAATACATAAATAAAATCTGTAATAAATATCGTATTTATCGATAAAGATTTGTCAGGATCTTACAAAATAACTAAGAATACTAATATAATTGTCATAAAAAAATTTAATTTTAATAAGGACTAGTCGATGGGTGGCGCTCGCGCCACCCATCTTATTCAATATTTGAGAAAAATTTAGTAAACCCTAAATAGAATAAAGTAAATTTATTAATTAA